CATGCAGGAGGCTTGTCCTAGATACCTTGATCGTGAGAGAATACCACACTACTCGTCTTCATGGTAGCCGTCCCTTGTCACAGGTTGTGTTACCTTCCGCGAAGAGTCACTATGAACACACTGTAGGGTCAGCGGACTTGATCAGGCAATCACACAGGGTTTAGGTTACCTGTGGAATCAACTGTCTTTTTTTTCAAGTTCAAAATAAAGTAGCAGGTAACAGCAAGTAACCGATGTGAAAAGCGATCAATTTCCCGTGGGGGAAAAAATGGGGGAAGATTTGATTGCCGCGGGGAAAAAAATAAGTCCCATTTGGATTTCCCGCCTCCACCTTACTACATACTATATAGGTATATACTATGTAGGTATATACTATTTACAACACAATGGGATTTCTGATTTCTGCTTATGCAATTTCCTCATACTGGAACCAGTGGGAATCATATGGTATTGATGGACACAAAAGTGCCAAAAGAAAACAGCGCTTGTCATATCAAAACAGACAACGCCTCGGAGGGAAAACGTGATCGCGAAAAAAAAAAAACAGGATGCGCAGGTATTCATAGCGCATGTAAAGGAGATTCAAGAATAACATTGAAATAAAGAGATCCAGATCACACCAACTCCACCGGCCTGGTAAAATCAGTGGCCTCCAGCGGCCACCGATGAAACTTGCATCGCTCTGGAATTGCAGGGAATCCGGAGGAGAGAATGCCAAATTCATAAAAAAGATGCTAAGAAAAAGATATCATCACTTCGTCAGAGGCGTCGTGGTCAGACGTTCTTGAAATGCTCTTTGGCATACTGTTCGCAGGCCTGTCGGGAAATATCTAGATTAGATGGGATGCACAATGACATGCAGGAAATTCCGATACTCACTTTGGCAGGCTTTCCCACTTTCTGACCGATCACCTTCCACTTATTCGCCTCGTACTCCTTGATCGCTTCACGAAGCTTCACAGACTGTGCGACGTCAGAGGCGGATGCGACAACGGACATTAAAAAAAAATCGGGATCATACCTCATCTTCGGCAAATTCCGCGTAGTGCATGTCCTGGGTAAGGTGTCAGTAAGACGAGACCCGGTATTACCAAATCCGCTTGTTATTGCGTACCTTATACCAATGCTTCTTGACACTGCCCTCGGTTCGGGTCGGGAAAGTCTGCGACAAGTAAAAAAAAAAGCCCAGGTCAGCAACGGATGGTTTCAGCCTATAAAAAAGCCGTGCGCGCGCACCTTGGCGATTTCACTCCAACTACGCCCGGCGTCACGCATTGTCTTAAGCCGTTGCTCCTCCTCTGCAGTCCATGGGGTATTCGTGCGTCCCTTTTTCTTGGGCGTAGACTCGACCGTGGGAATGGTGCCGGGGTCATCAATCCCACCCGCAGGATTGCCTGGGGCTGCCATCATAGCTGACGATCCCGAGGGAGAAGGAGGACGTTTGCGCGAAGCGCCGGGGTTTTGTTGAGGTATAGGAGCAGTAGGGATCGGGATGCCTTCGAAGGTTGGGACGCGATGAAATGGATGGATCTGTTGTTGAGCAAGCATATGCGGGGGGGCGCTGGTAGTTGCCGATGTCTTGAGGCGCTTAGATGTCGGGGGGGAACTAATCGGGCAGATAGTCAGAAAACAGAAGAAACATAAGATGAGATGAAGCAATGTAATAAGAACGCGACCCAGTGCACTTGAATTCCAACTCAGTCTCCCTCCCACAGCTGGAGGCCGGACGGAGATCACAGACGAAGGGACTTACGACATGGTGAAAGACACACGCGGTTTTCAATCACACTGTGCCGATTCATCTGTACATACAAAAAGGCCGCGTAGGGGGGTTAGCAGGATCTGGTACTGACGCGCCTTGGTCAACTCTCGGGAAGCGTTACACTAAAGATGATGACACAGGCGCATCCCAGGCAGAACCAGATTGACAAAGGTAACAGGGACAATAGAAAGGTATAGATCGCGACACAGGGAAGTCCAGACTCCGACCGGAGTGTTTTTAACTCTTATCTGGGTTGGGTTGGAAGTCAAAGGGCATGCTCACAGGTCAAAATCGCATGGTCGAAGTGTCGATTCGGGGACCTCGAATTCTTCCGAATACGGGGAGAACATGAGGCTGGAAGGGTGATGGGGTTGATTTTGAGGGGAAGGCAAGGTTGAGAGGGACCCCCAAGAAAAGGAAGGGGAAAAGAAGATAGAGACTTGAAAAGCACAATAGTGAGAAAGAGAGAGAGAGAGAGAGAGAGAGACAAGGTTACAGAAGAGAAAGGAGGGAGAGGAGAGAGGAAGTTGTGAGGAAAGGCAGAGAGCGGGGATGGAGTCACCTCATATCACAACAACCAAAGTAATAGCAAGATATGTTTTGGATATACGGTTTATATATTGATATAGTTTGAATGTTTATATAGTTTATATGGTTTAAAGTGTTTAATGTTTAAATGGTTTAAATGGTCTAAATGGTTGATGGGTTTAAACTTGAAATGTTTTGATTTTCTTTGAAGATCATTCTAATCTTCTAGGGTCGATTTGCTTTACTTGTAACCCCTCTATTACCTCTATATCTCTGTCACTCTTAAATTCCTCCCTTGATATGTATTTTCTTATATCAAATGTAGACTATTCAATGTAATCAAATTAAAATTCAGCGTCGATTCAAATACGCCTCTAACCACTTCCCTCCGGTGCATTCCACCCGTTCTTCCCTGGCCAAGGAACCGATGCCCGGACAGGGGCCCTGTCACAATTGATGACTCGTCCTGTGATCCAATTCGACCGACGTCAAGATGCAGAAGCAAAGATAACTACGTCCGGCAGATTCCTTGAGACATTTGGGCCGAAGAGACCCGCGAGTGGCCTGTTCCAGAATCCGGTGACCCGGCGAGATCTCACAACACCGTGCGAGGATGACAAGATACGCCCAATGCGAGTCAACGACGCGCCCGAGGGCCGAATTATTGCAAAGCCATCCAGTAGCCCCGGGAAATCATCCCGCAATCACCATCATTCAATTGACAGAAGTAGAAGTCTCCGTCCAACCCGAGACTTGGCAGGCTAGATCAGCCACAAGACAGTTGCGTGTACGGAGTGAAGCCACCGGGGTACCATTTCCCCTCTCTGCCCCCCCCCCTGCAGGTCGTTGTTGAGGGCGTGCCCGGTATGGGGTAGAGGGTCTAGAGGACCCTATCAGCTTTTCCTTTTGTTTAATACCGCGCGGGGTTCATCCAAGGCGTGTATATATTCAAGCCCAACCTCTCAGAATCCTCCCAGTATTTTCTTTGTCACACAAGCCAGTCTATCCCCCTGTCAATCTCCCATCGGTGACAACCGAAAAGATCGCCAATGCCCAAGCCGACTAGGGGTACTGAATTTCCTGGCATTGTCAATTAACTGGGAGATATCAAGTCGTACTGATCGAGTGTCTCCAGTTAGGAGGATAATACATGCAGAGGATCAGGTGTGCTGGATTCTTCCTAGTGCAGCACATTATCAATGCGAAAAAGATACTGCCAAGGGTCGCTGGGGGTAAATATGACTTGCATCACCCTATTTTAACGAATTGGAAAGGTTTCGCTATCAAATCTAGGAATATTAAGAATATTCAGTTCTAGGCTCGCTATAAACAAAATTTTGGAGTTCCTATATCAAGCTTATTGCTAGTATAAATAACACAGACGTTAGAACAACTCTAGAAAATGTCCTTTGAACTTCTAAACCGTATCTAAGGACAGAACCGGGCAATTCTACCTAATAGTTATAGAAGGCATAGACGGTACCGGACTAAGTTCGGAAAAGGAAGTTTGCTTCGATTGCCTCTTAGATCGGACATTAATAACTCTATAGATGAAGTTGACGCTTGAGAGAGAGAACCTTGTTAGAGACCAAAGAAATTGCATATTCGACTAGCTATCGAAGGGTCGCGTTCTTCACGATTAGTTTCTACCAACTTAAAATTGAGACTGCCAGCTATAACTATACCTTCAAATAGTGTTGATTGTCAAGCAAGCGAGTGCATTATTGTTCGCATTCACCTAGCTATCTAGCTACATCACTCACTCATAATTGAATGCAGCGACCGCAATAAACCACCATCGAGTTACGGGGGACCAACAAGACACACAAAACAACAAAAACATACAACAGTGAGGATGGTTGGTGCTCACTTACTTAATTGCTAGCTCACTGGCGTGTGGTCAAGTACGGCTGAGCAGACGAGAAGCCCTGTTTTCCACACCTTATGGTCGTATGTATCAGAGTTGACATTTAGAGTAAATATATAGCCGTTCTAAGTGATACCCCAACCTTGGCCAAGCAGCAGGATACCTTGGTGCAGCAAGATGCCAACCTGATCGACACGGCTATGTAAAAGTGTTGTGTCTATAGGCCAGTAGTATCGGGCTAGCCTACGTTTGATAGTCTCACACTCTTTCGTTCTGATCATTTACTATCTATCGCCACCTTATTGCTTTGTGTGCGCTCTTTCTTCTATTCCTTCCTATTTATTTTGAAGTATTAAAGAGCTTGCTCCTAGAATGACGCTATTTCTTGGTTATGTCGTAGGTATGTACATCTATGGATGTATCTAGGGTCAAAAGTCTAACCTGCCTCATAATCACTAAAAACTACGCAATTGGCTAATCTAAGGTATCCAGTGTATGGAGTAGTGTATGGAGCAGTGAATTTTAAGGTAAAAAGATAAGAATAAAATATATAGAGAATGGTGTAATAACAAGCAATATCTTCCAGCTGTGCAAACATAGTCCTCTCAAATCCAAGGCTAGCTTATCGTGACAATAATGGGAGAAAGAGTCGCGGTAAAGAGTCGCGGTAAAGAGTCGAGGTAAAGGTCAATCAGGTTGATCTTAGAATGGGAAGAAAAGAAAGAAAGAGACCATAGAAAAAGAAAATAACAAAATCGAACTGAAAATGAATGGGCAATAAGAAATGAGAAAATGAAAAGAGAAGAAGGAAAGTCCCAAAAAAAAGAATTATGGTTCATGAATCTAAAAGGTCGCTTCCTCGTCAATATCTAGCTCCAGGGACTGAGCTCGAGGTCGTTTTCGAGACACAGTAGGTGTCATAGGAGCAGGGTCAGACATAGCAGATGGCGATTCACTCGAGCGATCACGATGTTGTTTTTTCGCGTCTAGAAGTCGAAGTTGAGTTCTGCATTGATCGGGCGAGTACAGTCTAGTACCGCCAAGTTCTTTCATCTGAAGAAGAAGATCAAAAGACACATTAGAACATTTCCTATACCATGTGGGCATAGGAAATCTCACCTTGTCTGAAAGGTAATGGAATTTATCTCTTGCCCAGATCCCATGGGCGTCGATTAGCAGTTTGATCTAACGAAGTCACATATTAGCACAGACTGTTCCACATATATACTCCAGCTCACACGGCTTGTTTATACTATGTGTTGCGGGGGGTACATACTCACATCTGATTCTTCCCACCGCACCATTCGCTCTCGGAGCCGGCGATGAAGACGCATCTGCAGGCGGGCCTCGGAGGCATCTTTATTAAATCTCTCCCGGAATTCCTGACGCACGACCTTCCAGGCCGTGTGTCTATCTCGCAGTTCTTCTACAAATGCGTCTTCATCTTCTGCTTGGGGGTCGCGTCGCCCACGGCCTGGGGCCCGGATCTTGGGGAGTATGTGTGAAGTTGGCTGGACGTGCTGGCGATCTTGCTCCATTCGGAGAACGCCTTCTGGGTTAGGAGCGATGCTCACTGGTGAGTTGCTTGGCTGCTCGCGTAATGGCGTCTCCAAGGACGGAAGTCTGGCGCGTTTGGCTGGTGGACCCTGTGGCGACTGGCTAGGCGTTTGTGTCACGCCATGCTGGCGGCCACTTGGATCCGGAGCGTACAGGTAGGCAGTATCGGGAGCTGAAGACTGGGGGAAATCACTCGGGAATGGTGCAGAGATACCGAGACCCAGTGGGGCTGAGAGGGGATCATTGAGGCTATACTGGTATTCTTGCGTGTGGTAGCCCTGCGAGTGGCTACTGATTGCTGGGCTGGGACGAAACGAGCCATCCGGAAGACTGATTGGTGTCAGGAGGCTATTCGGAGCTAGAGGCTCTGTGCAGTAAGGACTGGTGACTCCTATGAACGGGGTCTAGATCGTATACGAGGTCAGCTCATGTTGTGGAAGTATACAATGTCCTGTTTCAAAGGTGCATAAGGTACATACCGCTGGCATTGTGGGCCAATGAGCTGGGATGCCTTCATAGTACTCTGTCATCTCTTCGGTGCAGGGGATATCCGAGCGATTAGACATAGTGTCGACTGGTTTCAACTCCAGCGGCAGATAAAACACGGGGTGATTCACAGTCCACTGCGTTGTCTGGGTGGGGAGAATAAACGCCGAAGCAGCAGAATATGAAACGAGATGTGAAACTCGAGGTAAGGGAAAATGTGGGACTGCAGGCGGTTGACAGACTAAGGTTTGCTGGGTCTTTAGGGTATGTGTATATCAACAAGGTCTTTCGCTCCGAATGTTGAAAAGAAAGATTCACCTTCCCAACCATCGACGGTAGCGGATCTTATAAGATTCATGCGAGCAAGAAAAAGAGGGGAAGATTTAAAAGCAAGCAAGAAGCGCAAGTCCGGCTGTCCTCCACTTCGAGAGATATCACAGCCAGCACCGGGATGCCTCGTGAGGCAAGATGTGAATAATCAGTCGAGGTATTAACCATAGGCTCAGAGGGCACCAAAACAGAGATCAGTACCGCCGACGAGCGCTGTGCCGCATTAGAATGTAGGGAGACCCATGAAGACTCGACGAGAGCCTATATTTAAGCGCTGCGGACTCAATAGTCCAATGTTGATATCCATATTCCGCCCCCATCCCTGGCCGGGGGCTCAGACTCTGCACGGTGAATAGGAATTAAAGTGAATCTATGAATTCAGACCCACTACAACGGGCCAAATAAAAAAGCAAAATAGAAAAGTAAAATAAAAAGCAAAAAAGGTAGGGGGAAAAAACGTGTGCTGCTTAGGGTTGTGGATGATCCTCCACAAAAGAGACAAAGCGTAGCGCTTAGAGCTTTGGAGAGGTCCAGTGGATTATGGAGGGATCCCACATCAAAACCATAACACCCATAACATCCATAACATCTATAACATATAGACTATAATATCTATGATATCTATAATATCTATAATATCTACACTAAGCCCATCAATTCCAAAATAGATCTTTCATTTTTACTTCTCTAGTTAGACATAAAACATTCAACTGCCCCCAAAGCCGATATGGCCCCATTTCAGAAATGTTCTGCACAAGTCAGCCTCGTTGACAGCCTACCTACTCTAAAATTGTTTCATTTTGGCAGCCCCCACCAGAAGAAAAGAAGAAAGAAAACCCCTCAAACTTGACGCTAGATTCCAACACACCGGTTGTGGGAAAGAAGAAGGGATCACGATCCTCCATGCATTCTCACATTCTCCATGCAAAGGCGTTGTTCAAGACGGGCGCCTCTCGACTGGCCATAGATGATCCAAAACTCTTCTGAGGCTGAGAAAGACCCCACGAGCCGCTTGGTGGCTTTGTCCACGGAGAATTCATGACCGCTGGTTAAGCGCTGATGCAAACACCCGGTAAACCCTGGTCATCTCGAAGGTGCAGAACAACCTTGGAACTTTCTTTGTGATTTTTTTTTTTTTTTTTTTTGCGTGCTTCTGTATGGATCGAGCAAAAAATCCTTTTTTTTTCCCTTCTCCTTCCTATTAGGTCTCAAATCTCCACATGTCCGGCGGTCGTTTGCTTCCGGGGCATCTCGGTCAGGCTCTCCGAGCCACGTCGTGCTTCTAAGCGCCCAAGGAAAGGCCAGGCGTGTCTGGACCTGAAATAATACGCTCACTTCTTTTTGATCTATCTGCACATTACAATTTTGAAAGAAAGGAAAAACCGAAACACTGCATGGGAGTTGAGAGCTCCCACCAATCTTGGATAGTGTTGAATCAATCTTGGAGGATATTTCTTCTGGATAGTGCATTTGGCCCCCAATTCAGCTCTGGGGTTAGATACCGTGAGATATTGAGTTTACATTAAGTACTCATCAAAACATTGGCCTGTAACACAATATCGTCGTCAACCCTAGTATATTAAGTATCTCGAGAGCTACAACCTACAACTCCAAATATGAATCGAAAGAAACTCGGGAGGCTCTAAAGATCAGCGTTCCTTTCCGGGTGCACTATGTGGACCAGCCGTATTGACTATGTTGTACATGTATTATTGGCTGTGTCTCACTTTCGCCCTTGTATAGGGACTTCTATTATTTCTGACATTATCTTATGTGATGATCTATTCAAGATACACTTTGCGGGGGCTGAATGCTCCTTTGGGTATGGCTCCGAGATCAGTAGACACCCCAGTAATGTAATAATCTCGGGAACCCGGAGGAGAGAGCCTCCATAAAAGCGGCAGCTAAGAAAAAAAAAAGCCCCCAAAAATCTGACATGTAGAACTACCGATTTCCATGCATGTGGACTAAATCAAGACAGTACAGGACTACTAACTACAGAGTAGGTAGAGACTAAAGGAAAATCAGGATCCATAGCGGGCTACAAGTGACATCAAATGACATCAAATAAACCCCGGGTAGGTCCGTGAAACGGTGTAGGCTGAGCAAAAATGGCCCCCATAAATTTGGGGCCAGAGCACGGAATGCTCCATACATATTCTCATTTCCTAATTCTATCACACAAAAAGGGCCCCGAAATCAAAAGGTGGGTATCAAACCCCGGGAGATAACCGAACTAGAATGGCAGCGGGTCTTCCCGTGCAACCCAATTTGAGTCCAAGACTCTGCGCAACATCCAGCAAAGACATATAGTTATGCCATGCTGTGACCAAATTTGCACATAGAAAATCATCACTTAACGAGGATTGCTCACCCTGTGATCTTCAAATTCGTCCTCGTCCCCCGAAAACCCATCTAAACTATCATCATGATGATGTCCCTTATTGTGACCATTGGTTTCCAGGGTATCATCGGCTGCGATGGAGATACCACGAGCGCCCCACCGGTTGTGGTTCGATTGACCATCCACTCCCTCCTCCTCGTCTCGAAGGTGTTGTTCTTCCTCTGCAGAGACTCGCGATGCCCGGAAATTTACTACACGATTCACCAGCCAACTGTTCCCATAGTCCTCGGAGTCAACGACACCACCATTGCGAAGCTTGACCCGCTGGCGCGAATAGTATACCCATGCAAAGTCAACATAAAAGGCAGTCTGTACAATGCCAAATACAACCGCGATCCAATCATTGAAAGGCTCCTTGTTGAACAGGCGGACTATCCAATTGAGGATGTAGAATGCTCTGTAGGAGCCCAAAGCAAGCAGGTAATATGAGTCGATCACCGTCGGGACAGTGGTCTGGCGAAGGAGAAGGAGCTGCGGCAAAACACACACAGACTCAAGAATGATGGAGAAAGCCCAGCAAAACTAAATGGTTGGATCAGTTGGGTTGCGGATATAAATACTTCGACCTTTTCCGGCTTACCTCAAGGATCCATGAATTGTAAGGCTCGGTGTCGAGAATCCAGATTGAGATAGGTGCCAAAATAACGGACCCAGCCACAGACCACAAACCAAGTTTCCAAGCTCGCTCCCTCTCTCTCGTCCGCGGGTATACTTTCATCATCAAGAAAATCAGGTATGAGGACGAGATGAGGTAGAAGAGCTTGAAGGAGACATTCCAAATGCTGTGCCACGTGCCGCTTTTGTACGTGTGGGAATCAAATAGATCAAGATAGCGAAATATGAAGACGGCACCGTAAAGCAGCTGCGTGAGGAGTGAGACGCCTAAATCAAACGCCCGTGTCAGTAAACTCTGCAGGGTGGCTAGGTAATCGGATTGATACAAGGGTGCACGAACCCTCGGCGCTCTTATTCTTGTGGATAGCCCAGAGCAGGACACATATCGAGCCTGTATGAGAAAGATCTCCAATTATACGAAAGATATTCCAGGCCACCATGGCTGTAGGGGTGTGATCGGACAATCAAGCAGTGAATTGGGGACGCGGGCTGTGGACACTTGTCCAGCTATCACCATTGAGGTCAGCGCCAAGTATCTGGCGGAATGGGAGAATCAAGTGGTGTCGAATAGATTGGAAGAGAAGGGTTTTTTTTTCTGTGTATGTACGTTCCCCCCAATGAGATGAACTTGCAGGGAGATGCAACGAGTGAAGGTCTATTGGCGCTGTTGGAGTGACTGGGGGAGTTCGTTATCGGCGATCCACATGAGCTTGGCCGCGTGTCCCCTCACGTGAGGTTGACGTCAGCACGTAAGTCGACTGGAGTAGTTAGATGGCGAGAAATATGGTGAATTGATTTTTATTACATGATCAAGGAAAGTGTTAATATTATTGAAGGTTCTATCTTGTTGCCTAGTGTCCAGTTATGGTTGACATGCACTGTTCAACATTGCAGTCTCAATGTGTATATATTCGAGGTTCTGACAATATGTGAAATAAGTATACAAATTATACATAATTCGACAGTTGGACTTCGAAGAACCAAACGTACTGTGATCAATGTTGCACTTAAGAAGGTATATAGTCTAGTTACCAAACATCTTGGAGGAGATGGAGTAGAGAGACGAAAGATGAGGACGTACAACTTACTCGATAAATATTTGAGTTAGAAGTTAATTCGACGCTCTTATCGTGGATCCCCTACATATGAGATCCAAAGAAGACGGTCCGCAACGACATCAATAGAGAGCTCGTTATGGTGGACATCCGGCTGTTCATTCTCTATCGGTGCTATAATCTAGACATGACAAGGCCGCCTAAGCGGCCGAATATTCTTATTACGCATCATTAGGAATGGCAGTCCGCAAATAAATAGTATATGTGAGCAAGATCTTGAAGAACTATATGTGTAGCTGATTAGGTTAGCCTGATAAAGGGCTGGAGAGGGAGCACAGCCACGTATAAACAATCATATTACACTGACAATTACCAATCCATTATCATTGGGCCATATAAAAATATATACATAACTTCAATTCCACACCCAATGCGAAGAACCAACTTATCGTTCATGTGGGATCTGAGAGATAGGTTTCACTTCCTCTCAGACAAGGTGTATAGCCATTGAAAGAATAAAAAAACGATAAACAACTCTCATTGGGAGAGGCAAAGAAAAACGAAGGGTTGGAGGGATAAGGCATTTCTTAGAATAATGAGGCCGTATGCCACGTGCAAAATATCCAAGAGTATGCAACAATGGCCCTGTCCTTGATACAGAGACTCAGGGTGAGAA